CGTGCCCGCTTTACGTAGCGGCCACGACGTGCTGTGAGGCTGAGTGCCTCGAATCTATTTCGTGATTCTTTCGATGAGGCAGCATGCGCTGTTCTGCTGATGATACTGCATTGTTTGCTTCGGGGGAATCACACATCGCAACTGATTGTGGCTGATTTGCAGGCTTTGGCTCACCCAGACATCCCGACGTTTGAGTCTACAGGACACTGTTCAAGTTTCGGAGGCGCATGGATGGGATGCTCGTCTTGACCGGTGTCGTGAGGAACCCCTGTGTATTCCAGATTGCAGCCATTCTCTGAGTATGAGCTATCCATCTCCTGCCAGGCCGGAAGTCAGTCCGAGAGTTTGATGTCGGCAACCTGCCGTAGCAACGTGCGCACAGGACGTATTCCAGAATCCTCGCAGCTACGTGAATCTGAGCCTCCAGACGAACTTTACACCTCCTTCAGCACCTCATGCTCCTACACTGTACCACAGGTGCTGTCATTGCAAACATTAGATAGAAGATCTTTTGGCTGCGCAGGACAACGACCACCCTAGTGCTTGCTTGGCTGCGAGGAAACACCGGCGGCCTTCGCAACCTCTCTCAATTAGACCACCACGACTGACGGGTAGTGACGGGTACGACCAGGGGGTTCGGCTCTTCAAGCGCTCGGAACGCACCAAACACAACATACGAATGTCCTTTGTCGAAAGGCTAAAACTCCAACCTCACGGTTCAGTACCCCTCTGTTGTAGTCTTAGGACAACAAAAGGAGACCCATCGTGATGAGCCGAAATGCTTGTGAGCATGAGAAAGTCATTCCTGATTTGCACCACCTCAAGGGGGGCGATATATGGTGGGCGCACATGGAGGCAATGAGCATTCTTCATGGTGCCAAGGCATCACCAAGTTTGACGTCCAGCTGCAAGTAGCACCTGAGCCAGAAGCTGGATGGACCGGTTTTGCACCCAGAGATGCAGTGCTGCACAAGCGACACCTGGGTAAGTGAAGCTGAACAAGGGGCAGTCCCAACCATAAATCTGCGCGGTCGCCTTTCTAGTTGTTTGATTCTGGCTCATGTGATGGACACATGGCAATGGGTCCAAATCAGGGACCTTGGTCCCTTTTGGGCACGGGTTTGGCACCAACACAAAACCAAACATCTGGAGGAGTCCCAAGTTTTGACGTATTCCCAAGCTGATTGATTTCATCATTGCTGCTTTTGTGGAGGGAATGCCATGGGGAGGACTCACAAAATTACCGCTAATCCGGGGAATGCCAGGCTCCTTCCCATGTCAATGGGGGCACAGCTGCCTTCCGCGCGGTCCGAAGAATTTCGGGTTCAAAAGGGCCTTGAAGAAGGCAATCGGACAGATCTCTGCTCAGCTGAAGCCTGTATCAGAGATGCTTTCGACACAGCCCATGGTGGCTTGGCCGCAATTTTCTGCTCAGCGCGTCAAACTTGGTTTGCACGGCATATCACTGTGAGAGCAACGGTTGCTTCAAGACAACTGCAATGACGCAATGAGTTTCACACACGGTGTCATCCATTTGCAGGATGCCTATTTAAGACTTCATTGTTGAAATCTCAAATATATCCCGGATTGCTATGCGCTGAATAGTCTCACACTCCAAGTACTATGTGGGCTTTGCTTGGCTCAACCAACAGCAAATACTTCCAGTCTCGCAGTCAGTATTCCAATCGTTGTCCCATGCCCAAAGTCAGATGTGAAGAAGTGAACTTGCTGAACATGTGCTCAGGTCGCTAGCCCTCCGGGACTAGTGCCTTGGCTTTGATAGCTCTCTGGTCAAAGGCCATGAGCTGGCATGAACTGTGATTCTTTTGTGCCTGTTGCTGAAACTTGCTTCTTGCCGAGTGCCTCAGGCTGATGTTTGGTCCACATCTCCTTTGCCCATGACACCACCCGCCGGCACAGCTGCATTTAGATCCTAATCTCCCGTCTTCATCGATCGGCTAGAGTCTGTCCCTCTCTTTCTTCTCCTCGCCTTTTCGCCTTTTCGCCTTTTTGCCGTTTTGCCTTTTTGCCGTTGCCGCACTTGTACGTGGCGCATCCGAGGGCAAGGCCAGCCGCCCCTGCGCGCCTGCGCCCGCCAAGCCACCGCCAGAGATCGCCGGGTCCGAGCCCCCTGCGGCCCCGGAATGGGAGCCGAACAAAGGCGGGGTGAGAGCAAAACGCAAAGGCAAAGTCATTTTGTCCGAGGGTTTCGGCAAAGTTGCGGCTTCAGTCAGCATCTTAAATGGAATTTGACCACTACCCCTGATTCATCAGGGAGAACATCAATGCAAAAGAAGCGCCGAGGCTTGAGATGATGCTTTCGGGAATCGTGCGCAGGTCCCATGGGGAAGGTGAACAACGCGCCGCAGCGCCCTCCAGGCTTGATCCTCTGACGGTGCCCTCTTGGCTTTGAGATGTGGGCGTGGGTTGTTTGTAGTCTACACATGTTTGAAGGAATGGTCATGTCACTTGCATGGCACACAGCACTGGACACCACCAA